GGGAAGTTCAGGCACATGTAAGACTCGGACATAGTAGGCAATACTGGAAAAAAGTGTTAATACTAGCAACAGCTGTAAAACTTGGCAAACCAGAGAAAGTCTATACTATTAAAACTTTTTGTGTAAAGAAAGTCTTTTGCTTTATTAAAAAAAATTTTAAACACGTATATAAACACTGTGAAACTCAAATGACCTGAAGAGAGACTTACATAGCAGTACTCACATTCTGAAAAAAAATTAACAAAAAATCCTTAATGTGATTATGTTACTGCACTTGCTAACTGATAGCACATGAGGGCAGAATTATGTTGCACTTACTGTTGGTTTCACCAGCAACTGGCCCATTACTGTAAACATCCTTGAAAGCCCCACTGGTGTGCATACTGCAGAGGAAAGATAACATAGAAAAGAGCAATTTGTAAGTCCAAGACTAATTTTTTTTTTTTTTGCACGTTGAACGTGCTCCACACATAACTGAGCACAGTTTTGAAGAGTTGTGAGACCTTCAAACTCCAATCCAAACTTTAGAACTTACTGCTGCCGTATGAATTTGAACAAGACGAGCACTTCTCCAAGAACGTAACTGAATTTTTTGTCATCGTGGAATAACATACAATCAGATATCTGAACCTGCTCGGGTAATTATTTACTCAAAGCATATGGCACCAGAGGCTATGTCTACACAAGTGAATTCAGTAGTGCCAGGAAACATTCCTGGGCATTAAGACTTGATTGTCTACACCAGTAAATTGCTAAAACTATCCTTGGCATGATTTTGCCCTGGGCCAGTTAGCACATTCCCAAACAATTCCCAGGTGCAGCTCCACAGCTCACGAACCACTAACACCAGGGCAACATGCACACAGTCTCCTCCTTCTGGGAAGGGCAGTACCACGGATATGGATGGATCAGTGCCAGAGGTCACCTCCTGTGCATTTAATCCATTAATACAGATGTAACTATAGTGTTAAGAAAAGATCGTGAAGCTGCTTCGCTATAAAAGTTAAACAGCAACTTCAATTGATAAACTTAGCTATTAGTTCTTAAGCTACTTTTTTTATAAAATAAAAACTGGCCTTTTTTGATAGTAGCCTGCATTAAATGAGAGCGTTTCCAGGTATAGTGTGTGCTGGGAGAAAGGCTCACAAACCATGATTTTTACTAATAATTCTCCAGTATCAACACCGTAGGAAGAACGGCCTTCGAGTACTGAAGAGCGTAGGAGACACAAGGGATTCGTAACAGCATAGATGAGAACATAAATTTATAGTTTCTATTATTGTAAGACAGTCTTGTCAGAAAAGGGAAAAGCACACAAATTAAGGTGATCACATTTATTATTAATATTTCACTATGACTATTACATATTATGGGATAAATACAAGGTTTGAGTATTCACAAAGGCTAACTTCAGCTAGTCTCTCTTGACTACAGAGGGAGCCTGTCGCCAAAAGAGAACAGGGAAAGGAAGAGATATTCTAAGTCACTGGAAAAAAAAACCTAATCACTTAATTATCGATACTCTGCTTCAGCAATTAAGTAACTTTAAGAACCTCCACCGCAGCCTCTACCTCTTTCCCACTGCTGCATGATGCCCTTTCAGCTACACAGAAACAAAAGCTTGGAGGGCCTTATACAATGAAGTCACGGAAATTAAGTTAAAAATACTTCTTCTAAAAATTGCTATTTAATCTCAACTATTTTGATGATCTGCTTTACAATAGCCCTGAAACACACGCTACATTTTCAGCTCTACCAAAACAAACTGCAGGACAGATGTAGGAAGGTTGCAAGCCAACTTCTCCATCAAAAGCTATTTCAGCAACTTTTGTGAATCACCCTCTTGGGCAGCCTCGGATGTTCAAAACCACATTTTTCACTTTTTTCCTCTCCCTCCGTTAAAGAGGATGCTGGAATCTCCACATTCAGAGAATCTAACAAAACTCACTAAGCTCTCCGTGAGCAATACTTTTAAGATTTATCTACTTAGTTTTACGTAAATATCTTATAAATTATACCTTCCCACCCTTTCTCCGTAGAGACAGCTCAGTAAATTTTAGCTGTGAACTTACTTACAAAAGCTGGAGAAGAACAGGTGATACCATCATAACCGAGAAAGGGAGACTTTCTGTCCCCCCCCCCCCCCCACACATTTTCTAAAAAAAATCAAAAAAGGGAAAAACTGAAGCTTTAATTAGGATTTGGAGCCTTCCATTCGTCTTTCCTATTCCCCCAAACAGGGATTAGTGAACTCTGCATAGGACCACTTGGTGTAAGATTATTTCTTTATCACATTTGTTTTGCATACAGTGACAAAACTGACGTCCAGACTGGATACTGGTTTTGTGATTATGAAACCTAATTGTATCATGTTCCAGTTTCTGCCTATACAAGAATGCTTCCAATTAAAAAAAAAGAAAGAAGGATAGCTGACTGAATATAGGGCAAACTAAGCGGTTCTAGAATAACTGCTTTCCCCACTACTGACCTCCTGTAATTCCAGACATCTCATTTAAAAGTTTGTGCCCCTGCAGAATGGTATCCCTACTTTTCAAGTACCTGCTTTAAAAAAATTATAAACTGCAGTGATTTTGGATGAGGTGTTAAAGACCTCAAAACCTCAAAGTGTAAGGTTGCATTTGTTTTACCTCAGAAGCTCAAATTTATACACAATCTGTTTCTATTGAAATTTAAACTTAAGAATGAAAAATAAAAATACTTTTTTTCACCTCTAAAAAAAGGTTATCTTCCACAGTGAACATAAGCTTTCTTTACTCTGAGAAACACAACAATAAACATTCATCTTTTGGAAGAATCAGGAAACTACTTACACAGAAGTAACAAGCATCCCATCAGTGATATACAGGAATATAAATATGGGAGGTAGAATTCCCAGAGATCTGTAAAAAGAATATTAAGCACAGCCTTAGCTTATTAGGAACAGGCTGCTAATGTCATAAACACAGCTGAATTAACTTCTTAAGCTTTCTTCTCCAAGACTGAACAATTGTATTCTGAAGTATAACCTAAAACTTACTCAGTTTATTAGTCTGCAGGCAACTAAATCCTCTAGCACTATTCCTGCTTAAGTAACTTGTTTTTAACATAGACATACAACAGCTTGTCCACAACAGCATGCTAAGAACTTCTCAGCATGCTAAGAACTGAGAAAAAAAACAAACCAAAAAAACTGAACAGTGAACAACTGCATTGACTAGACATCTTCTCAACCTGTGTAGAACTGGCATAGTATTTACTAGAAATACATTTAATTGAAAACATCCACTTCCATAATTTAAACTAAATGCCTTTTTTTTTTTTTTTAATTCCATACCATACAAAGACTCCATACTGGCAGCATCATTGTCTATGAGAGCTGAAGCAACCCATACGATTCCAAGGATAAGCAATGCAAGAAGAATAAGCATTACAAGAGTTTCCAAAATGCGAGCTCTGATCCCCTGTGGGCAGAAGAGGGGAGAGGGAGGAAAGAACACAGCAAAGAACTTTGAAATCAAATATTTTCAAATACAAGAAAAACATAAACAAATAACTATTCCTTACACCGAAATATATACTCACATATTTTACATACGCAAAAGCATTACATATAATGCACATTCAAAAATTCATTCTACATGCATTGAAAAGGAAGTACTTATTGCTTTATACTGTCCAGATTGTGTTTTTCCCCTTAAAAAACACAGAAAATTGTTTGAAATTACATATGCCTTACAGTTCTCATTAACCCCATTATTCCATAAAATATTCTTTATACTGTATGATTTTGCTTGAGCATTTTTAAAAGATGGATTACTTTTCTAACACTTTCAGCAAAGAAAGTGGATTAGCAAATTTTTATCTATCATTCCAATCAAGGGAATGGAAAGCCAATTATGGCAAATAGCCAAATAGCCCAGCAAGCATTAAACCCTGCACAGGTACAATGCACCAATTTACTTAAAATACACTCTTCAATTGAAACTGCTTCTGCACCACTCCTCACAGTCTACAGAGCCCTCAAGTGTACGGTTAGAGTACTGCTCAGTCGCAGTCAGCCCACATACTGCTGCCGCGGTCACATCCATACTGCCCACCTTCACGTGCTCCAGAATGAATGGAGCAGGTCCCACTTACAACACAGAAGTCACAGGCCTATACAGTTACGCTCCAGTATTTCCTCACTAATCTTAAAATGTCACAACACAAGTAGTGCAGTGTTACAATCGCAAATCTGAATATACCAAACTTTACCTAGAAACATATTTGTTAATAATTAGGCTACTAATATATTGTTGAGACATAATAGTGGGACACTTTCTTCAGACATCCTTACCATTAACGGAACATCTGATTGCTTTTCATATAATCATTTGACCTTTGTTTTTCTTGAACTTTCAATATACACCTCCACAAACAAACCCAATCTCCTGTCCATCACACAGGTTCACAGCAACTTATGCATATTCAACTGAAAAAAAAAAAAATCTACTTTGTAGTTAAAAAGAAGTTTGCTTCACTTTATTCTTTGTCTACTTGATCACCTCTTCCCTCACTGCTTAAAACAAGAGGATAATCTTTACATGGCATTTACCCTGAAAATTAGGCTCCCTTCATAACCCCAGCATCCAAATATGAATGGAAACCTCAGATAACCTAATCACATGCGCTTATCTCCTATAAAATGCCAACTCTTCATTTAGTTATCAATCCTCTGCAGAACATCTAAGATAGTAAGAAGGAAAAAGGAGACAAATAGAGAACTTCACAAAATTCTCCTTAAAGATTAATTGGGCAGATCAAGTCAAGCTCCATAGAGGCTCTCCAACACTAAATTTCAAATTAAAAGTAGTATGGACAAGATATGTATTTATTCCTAGAATGTATTTCATATATAATAACCATGCTTAGAAGTTGCTAAAAATGAAAATTTTGTTTTTTATAGCACTCCAATTGGCTTTCAGTCTTCCATGAGTTATTTTGAAGGTGGGCTTCTAAGCCAAATATATACGTTTGAAGATTAAAGACATTAAATAGCTGTATGCTAAGAGTTTTGAACCTGAGCAACAAGTTATTACAGGCCAGTCCTTGTTGTTTAAAGTTACAAATTTCTCATTGATTTCAAAAACAGTTATATAAAACTTGGTGATCTGACCTTAAGAGGTACATAAAGTAAAATTTGTTAAAAGTCGCATTTATCTGGCATCTGTCCTTCTCTTCACATAAGCACTGAGCATTGATATAGACCCTTTATTTTATGATAATAGGAACCCACAACATTACAGAAATATAACAATATTCAAGGAGGCGGGCAGAGTGTTCTGCTTCAAGCTTTCCAAAAACCCTGATGCCTCCTTTCCTCTCCCAGGAAGAGGAAAAACACAAATCTACCTCCTGACTTTCTGAAAACTTTAGTCACAAAAAGCGGATTCCTTCCTTCCTTCCTTTCTAATGGACCCACGAAGCCTGAGAGAGGCTGATATTTGTTCAAGTTTCATAGCAACAGATCCTTCCCGGCAAACCTGGAAAATATTTCATTTCACATGGAGCCTAGAATATCAAAACTTCCTCCTTGATATGGAGTGGAGCATAACTGTCAAAAAGAAGAAACAATAGAGAATGCCAAATTTAAGGGTTGTTGGGGGTGTGTGTGTGGGGGGGGAGGTTTAACATCTTTACTGAAGATTGTTCTCTGAAAACAGGCCAGATTAGTAAAAATAAGTAATAACTTTTCAAAAAAGAGAGAGAACCACAGCGAGTCTTCCGAGGTAACCACTGCATTTGTTCCAAAGTATCATCAACACAAACTCTACGAAAACCAAGTTTACCTGCCTAATAAACCTCCCGCACTAGCAAATTTGTTCCCAAACTAATTAAACCAATCTTCTTTTGTTCTAACTGGTTAAACCTATCATCACATGCAACACATGAGTATCGAAGAGTCTCATGTCCGCACTGAAAAGTGGGATAGACTCTTCACTTAAAGGGAAGAACAACTTTTTGTATGGTACAGTCACTCCAGACATCATCTGCATACAACATGATTCATATATTGATGATCATTTGAGGAATGAAGTTTTGAAAAACTTCTTTGAAGTGACCAAATAGAAACATTCTGGGATAAGCACTAATGAACACCTGTTTTTTTTTTGTTTGTTTGTTTTTTTAAAGAAGCTTAAGAATATAGATAAACAATTAATCTCAATTAGGCATCCATAAGAACATGTCCTATTAAGACATTAGGATTTCAGACACATCTGTCCACACTTACATACATTAGTATACCTGTCAAGTAACTGCTATCTGTAATCAACAGTTCTTCCCCCTTACAGAAAATTCCTTGAGGAGTGAGCCTCAGGACACCCTTCCTACTTTTTATTTGCTGAAGGTAGGTTTTTTTGTTTGTTTGGGTAGTTTTGCATAATTATACCTCATAAGTTTAAAGCATGAATCTTCTGGTCACTAACATCACTAGTTTGAGAATAGGACAAGAACTACATTGCTGACTTTGGGAAAAGAGAAAAATTAGGTCAATTTAAGTAAGAGCTGCAAAACATTCCATTTTATTTCAGTGAAGGCAAAGATATGCAAATAAACCTTGAAATTCACCACTAAGTTCTTTGTTTTCTGAGCAGAAACACCTTCACCGATTATTCTTTTTGGCTCAACATTTCTTCTTTCACACATTTCATTTTTCTTCTCTCCCACAGCCCCATTACATTACTCAGATTTCTGAGACAAAGAAAATGTCATGGCATGTTTTCTGCGAGGGATATTGTCAATTCTATTTCACCTAACGCTTGTTGCGCTTTTTGAACCCAATTGCTCTTCACAATGTCTTGGGGGTAAAGTGCAGCGCTAAATTTAGAGACTGCAGTCTTGCAACAATCCCATTTAAAATAAGAGATTTTAGATGAGAGCGTATGTTCACACTGAATTCTTCTTTACTAGACCTTCTCATTGAAAGACCATTTAACTTGCAGCTAACACTCATTAAACTCTTCAAAAAAGAGGAAAGGTCCTGTCTAAAACTGGAAGCTTCAGACCAGCACATTTATTCTTGGTGTTCAGTCTACGCCATATCTGACTCAAGGACGCAGTTAATGAAGGAGTAGGATATGGAAAAATATGCAGTGTAGATATGCCAAACTACTTCAGTTTAGCATCCCAACTACACAAGGAAAACCAGTCATACAGCATCAAATCTTAAAGTCAAAAAGACCAACTGCATTTGAATCAGTGGAAAAAGTGCTTTGATTCGTCATCATTAGCGTGCAACGGGAAACAAAGGAAACTGTTACCACACAAATGAGTGAGATGACCTACCTAGAAAACTGCTTCAAATGCTTGCCATGATGTAATAAGTGCATGCAGGAGTAGGAGAGAGAATTGAGGGAGGAGGGGGAATAGTCACCTTTCACATCACAGTTCAAGTTTAACACTTCAGTCAGGAGAAGTTGTCTCATGAGCTCCTAATCATCACTGTTTACAATGCCTATGGAAAATAAACTGATAACAAGGAAGAGCAATGGGAAGATGCACCGTATTTTTAGCTTTCCACATTGCTTTCAAAAAGGAAAATGAAGTTGTCCAATTCTTCATTCATTTAGTCTTCCTTTCCTAACGGTTCAGCCAGGTAAGAATAAGGACAGCAAGCAATACGCAGCCAGCTAACTTGCATCAGGTTTTTCAGAAAGTTGGTCTAGATCACGACTTAGAAAAGTGCAACTGATAACACAAATACTAATTCATTCCTAAGGTGTCCTTTGTTAAAAACAGAACATAACTGATTCACTATTTTATGAATTATTCAGTGCACTTCAACCTGCAGTGTTTTAGGAGGAGGAGAGATTCATCTCCAAAGCAAGTGTGGATAACTCAGTAAAGCGCTAAGACGACAGCTCCGCGATATTTACACAGTGAGAATAAAGATTCTATTTTGCATTTATTCCATATTCTAGTATTTAAAAAAGAACTCAGAATTAAGACGCACACTGAAACAAGTTACAAATATACATACACAGCTTACGAAGGGGGGCATATTGACAACAACCTTGACATCATTATCAATTAAAATAAACTCCAGTTTAATACAGCATTAACTGCACAGCCCTAACTGCTGCTCCCATGCCATAAACCTCCAAAATGAACAATTGTGGCCCTTAATGAAACATGCTCCCTTTCATCTTCATTTTAGTTTAAGTTGTGTTGTTTTTAAATATGGTGATAAGACAATTCTAAAAGACAGAAGAATAGGGGGAAAGCAATGCACTTGCTTTATTTTCAACCTATTTCACTGTAGTACTTTTATTAACGTGTCAGGTTCAAGGAGGTCAAATCACTTGCCTTCTCTTGGCCAATTAGCTGCTGGGAGGCTGACTAAGTTGGAGAAGTAACAAAAAGTAGTATCACCACTTTAAAATCTTTTTTTATCCTCTTACTAATATCACATATGCAGAAG